TGTGTGTGTGTGTGTGTGTGTGTGTGTGTGTGTGTGTGTGTGTGTGTGTGTGTGTGTCGAAAGCAGGGGATTCTTTGTTCCGAAACCAGCCAAACTCCTGACAGTGGGGATGTTATAGATCTATACATGTACATTTGTATCTGGGTTATGAACATGACAAAAGATAATATTGTAGTGTATGTAGATATAATATAACACTGTTTGCTAAAAAGCATGCCCCCCCCCCATATGTGTTTGCAAACAAGCCAGTACATGTATTTATTACAGGGTGAAACGACAGTTTTGTTGGTTAGCTGTGGAGTCGGTCGTAACTTAAATATCTGTTTGATAAGAAATATTTACATTGTAGATTGTAAGACCGCCCCCAACCTTTTTATTAAAGGGTAAATAAAACACTACCCACACTATCATCATGTACCACACGGCTGATAACAAGTGTGAGGCTGATCTATGACAGATTAGGCTACATTAAGCTTCACGTAAAATATGTAACGCAAATAAAATAGCAGATCGATTTAACCCACTGTAAGGGGGTTTAGTGTAATAGGAGGGAAATAAAAACAGTGAAGGTGTCTCGTTACAACGTTTGATAAAGATAAGCCAAATAGCTATACTTTTTTAGATGGAGGCTTCAACACTCACGGATTATATGCCATGTGATACCTGTTACATGTTGCGACTTCAGTGACACATAAATTAATGAATTAGGAAACTGTGAAAATGTTATTTAACACACCTTGTCGTATTGATACCCTACCGTTGACGTCTGTTCGCTTTTAGGAACCACCCCCCCCCCCCCAAACACCTAGATATTTGTAAACATCTCTCTGCATATCAGAGTAATTCTAAGCTATTGCTTTCTACAGCCCGTCGCGGATACTGAGGTGTATCCGAGGCATAGAATCGTCGGTGCATGTAAAAAGCACGGTAAACCAGTTAACATGTTCAATATCGAAAAGCACACAGGTGCATTCTAGCCAAATGGGAACCCTCCTCCCTTTCCCACTCATCAACAGCAAGTGATTTTAACAGCATAAATGACAACGAACATTCCTAGCTCCAACCTATCAAAAGGTGTAGTTATGCAAACGAAAACACATAACAAAACACCCCC